TCTTTCCCACTCTCATTAGAGATCCCAGGAGGAAAGGATTTAGCAGACCTGTGAGAGCATTCAGTGTTCCTGAATCACCCAGTGAAAACAACTAGTTTACTTAATAGTCATTGTATTTCTCCATTTGGGTTCACATTGTAAAATCAAATTAAATGAACTATTACTGTTGGTCAGTCACTAGGATAAAGGAGAGCTAAAGTGTGTGTGTGTGTAAACCTTTCAAGTGTTTCTATAAAGCTTACATGTTTGCCAAAATTTATCCACATTTCTGGAAGAGAACCACAGCCAAAAAAGCGGAATTTAAAATTCCCATTAAAACTATATAAGTTTTTTTCAGTGTTTTTATTGAGACAAAGATTTTGTAATATTGATATCAATATTTTTTTGATACTGCAGGTTTTGTCTTTCTGAACTTTTCAGTCCAAATTGTTTTGATACTGTCTAAATGAGAAATTCAGTTTTCCTAATGAGAAATAATTAAATAATTATAACTAAGTTTATAATAATGCAGTAAATGATTTGAATTTCAAGCAGCAAGAAAGTCAAGGCATACAAACGGCAGTGCAAGCAGAATTGAAACATAATTTGTTTTCAGATTTGTCCAACTCACTTATTTTAGAACACAAACATGCATTTTAAAGACACACATTTCTGGATGAACAATTAGAAAAATCAGTGAGCAGATTAACTTTTTAATTCCCATCTAGGGAAGAAAATGAACATTTTCACAGGAGTAGAAGACCCTTTCTCATATTTCATTTTTGCTAATCCAATCAGGAATCTAAATTGCATCTTTAAGTCCCTAAACATCTTTATCCCATGAGTTCATATTCTTAATTACTTTTGAAAATAAACACAAATCCCTGCATTTTTACATCTATCGTTCATCTGGGGACATAACCTCTTTGTCCATCCAGTCCTATCTGCCCTGCCTTGTCTTCTTTGTCTGCTGTATTTTACCAGTTCTTTTTTCATTCATCGCTTTCCTCAATTTTCTTACCCTTCATATCCTTAATTCCACTCATTCCATCTACTCATGTTTCACACTGCCAATCCAATCCATCATCCTTCAGTTCAGACTCTCACAAGCCGTTACTGCTTTTTGCTCAGAAAGATTTACAGTCAAGTTTGTTCCCCAGCTGCACACTGAGGGTGCCTCCCTCACATCAAACGCTATGAAATTCATTGCTGATACCAAACTTAATTCACACACTTGTTCCTGGATGTACAAAAGCAATAAATAAAAAAAGAGAAAAAAACCCATAGGGAGTTTTATAACTTACATTTGGAAATTGTTGTGAAGGATCCATATATAAACTGTATTCCTTTAATTTCTTCTGCTCAATTTCTTTTGCTCAGTCTTCGTCTGCTGGTGGAGGGAGTCCTTTGGTCTGTACTAAAACTATTCTAGAACATAGAGCACTTGTTCTAGAGTTTTGGAGCTTGACCGTCCTCTGGACTTTTGGATTTTCTTGCAGCAGAATTCAATCAGAAGCAGATTTAATTGACAAATATACTGAAACGGATTTTGTTAAGCTTTCTTAGTCACAGAAGGCTAATCTTATAATTATGCAGAGCTCAGTTCTTTAGAGTGAAGTAAGAAATGTTTAAGAAACTGACAGCAAGTGCTTGGTCTTCAGGAACACAGTTGCCTCTTATTCTACATTTTTGAATCTGAGCATCACCGAATCCTTTCATCTATTCATCCTGCTGTCTTGTTTTTTAGGACACTATTTACTTTTTGGTTTTGTTTTGGGTTTTTTTTTTGTGGTGGTTTTTTTTTTTTTTTTTTTTAAAGCATGCCTCAGAAGGGCATTCCAGAGCTTTACAAGAACATAATTTTAAAGTATAAAGACTGTATTTATAATGTTTGGAGACCTGCAGAAAAATAATCCAAGAAGATAATGGCATAGTCCGGAGACACAAATACAGTGATGCCTTATGTGGTATGCTGATGCAAAAATCATGGGAAAAGTTGAATGAATTTTATGTATCTTGGTTAGATTTCAAAAGGCAGTGAATTTTGTCTTCACTGCCCCAGTCTACATATTTTGAACCTTGCTTTCTGTCATCTTGCTAGCACATGTAAAGAGTCTTCAGTTGCTCTTTATGATGCAGATTTGTTTGTCTAATATTTGTAGGCCAAGAAGCTAATATTTGTAAAATATTAGCCACTAATATATCCAGTCTACCCCCAGGACCTGGATGGCCAAGGCAACCTGAAATGCTGTTTCTCTGTAAATGTGACCCTCCTTGAACAGAAAAGCCCATCTCTCTAGTATGGAATTCTTGGTGTTCTAGAAACTTTGATCTTCCTAGTGAATTTTGTGGTAATATGATGGGACAGAGCACTGTTCTTTAAAAAGTGAAATACATCCTTAAAATGTCATGAAAATAGTATTAAGTCTGCGTTTGGTCTCATCTTACAGGGATTAGCATGGCTCATCAAATTTGTCTTCTAGTTGTTTTCTGTCTGACAAAGAAAAAGTACTGATGGCTTTTGAATTTCTCACTTATAAATTCTTGCTGTCAGACGTAGTAGCTAGATGGTTGTATGGTTACTTGATGTCATGCATCAAGCTCTTTCCTGTTGCATGAAAGGTACATGTGGGAAGAGAAGGAGAAAGACTAATCCAATTCTTGAGTAAAAATACAACCCAAAATAACAAGTATTTTTAATGTTTTCCATCCCACAGAAATTTCAAACCAGTGCAGCCCACTGCCGTGCCATAAAGATGGATATAAGGAATGCATAGATGGACAAGCCAAATATACATGTGTCTGTAAAGCAGGATGGCAAGGAGTGAACTGTGAAGAAGGTATATAATCTTTCATCTCATATGATTTTAGTTCCCAGGAGCACAGTTCTAGTATTACTCAATAGTATCACAGTTGGTTAATGAATGTCTTTCCCTTAGCAGAGTTTTTAATTTTGTTTTCCTTCTAGATATAAATGAATGTGAAGACTTAAATGGAGGTTGTAGCCAACGCTGTTCCAATTTACCTGGAAGCTACCGTTGTTTATGTGAAGATGGCTACTTCATGCATTCCAACAAACGGGATTGTGGAGGTAGGAAGGGAGACTAAAGGAGAACAGTACAATTCCTGTTGACTAGAAAGAGGAAAGAATTTAGTCCAGGAGTTCTGTAAATGCCCTAGGTCCACAGAAGTTTGAATCATCTCCGACAGATACTGTTCTGCTTCAGCTTGGGTACTCATTCCACCTGCAGCCTTAGCACTGCAAGCATTTGGGCAACTGTATAATGAACCAGCTCAAAAAGACAAAAAAGAAAGAGAGAAAGGCTACAGAAGTGTTTCTGCTTCATTACTAGAGCTCCATAAGGCTTGTTTTGTCTCTAACCAGTATCACATACGCTTTAAGCATGCTGAAACAAGAACCTAAAGTAGTGTGACCGACTAATACTGTTCCCATGGAAATCCTGTCTGGTAAACACTGGTTTAGACCAAATCACTCCTAATTAATGATGCTGCTCTTTTGGGAGTTTTAAGTTCTTTGGTGAAGAACCTGTTAATGAATCCAAAAATTTGCTTAATGAAGAGAAAGATGTCTTTTATTCACCCAGGCTATTTTTTTTCCTGTATGTGCTTCTGTCTGTTATTATTGGCCGTGATCTATGTGCTTCATTGCACTCCAGATAAAGACTATGTATGGACATAATTAACAATTCTTACTGCAACAGTTAGAAAAAAATACAACCTCTTTCAGTTTTTAAAGTCATATTTTATTGCCAAACTGTGACAACAGCTTTAGATAATGTCAAATAATTTAAGAGTCTCAACTGGAGGGCCATCTTCCACCATCAGTTCCTTAAGTCTATATATTTTTGTGAATTAATAACTTGCAAAAAATGCCAGAACTACAAAAGATTGCTGTTTTGTCACTAAGGGCAAGCAGATAAGTTGGTTAGAATCTCTGTAATTCTTGGAAAGATATTGGAAAATCTGGTTAAAAAAATAATCAAAGATAAAAATAGACTAATATCCCTCAGTACCTAGAGTACTAGTTTAGTCATTTGATAAACTGGATTTAAGTATTGCATTACATCCAGCTGCAAAATTCTGCAACTAGGTGGGCACTGATCACGGCACTTAGTGAGTAATTAAAGGGTCACTGCTCAGTGTGGTTTATTTTGAAGGAGAAAAGAAGAGAGAGAAAAAAAGTAGAGAGAAAGAGAGGTGGATAGTCATCATCCATGGATCCAGCATGGTCTCATCAGTTTCCAGGGCAGTGCAGTGGAGCACTTCGTGTCACACGTCTCGCTGTCCTTTTATCCGTTCCCTTTGCCCAGAGCCTGTCCCAGTGTGAGGTCACACTTGCACCTGTGCTTTAGGCAGAGCCAGGAGCTTTGGCATCATCTCGGGGCTTGCAGCAGAGACACGTGGTTGACCACGACCATCTCAGGGCTCACATCAGAGCCATGTGGTCACTGACACCATTCCAGTGCAGACCTGCAGATACCTGCTAAGGCTCAAAGGGCTGGGGGGGAGCAGCATGCCTGTTCCCCCCAACATTTTCCCAACTGGTTGTTTTGAGCCAGGCAACTTTTCCTCCAGTCCCTGACACATTTCCACAACTACTACAAAACCACAGAGAAAACTAGAATGATCCCTGCACATACAAGTGGGAGCAACGTACTATCAGAGATCTGAGATGTTTCTGTCTGAAAGACATTTAATAAGATCGATACTATACGCTGAATCCAGTCATCACATCTGTATTGTGAAAATGACATTGAAAAATTGGAAACAACACAGAAGACAGACACTAAAATGGTTTGAGGGATAGAGAGACAGTGAGGGACTTAAACACCTGTCAGCATAGCCAATTAAAAGACAATCGTGACATGAATTGATTGTAGCATGTAAGAACCTCCGATAGGATTATCTCCTGTCTTTCTGGATCTCTTTTTCTAAGGTAAGATTTTATTATTCAGTCTGGTTTAGTTTATAGGAAGTCTGCAGACTTTGTCTCTGCCTGCCTGGACATGCATCCCTTTTCCTGCTACCCACATAACACATGAGAGAGAGAATGAGAAAGGCAGGCAGGCAGAGAATATTTTTCACTAAGGGCATACAGCAGTGTCTTTTACAGACCTCTGGAATCCTTATGGCTATAGCTATAGTCTGCTATGAAAGCATAGTAGACCTAGCAAGAAAGAGGCAGTTTGCCAGCCTCATTCAGTCTGCACAGTTTTGGATAGGGTTAGGAAAAAAATGGTATGCAGGAGAATGACTTGTTTTTTAATAATTTGTTTGTATTTCTAGATATAAATGAATGTGTGCTATATCCAAACATCTGTGGGACAGCCACCTGTAAAAACACCCTGGGGAAATATGAATGTGAATGTGCAGAAGGTTACACATATAATTCAACTTCCAAAAACTGTGAAGGTAGGTCTTTGCCCCCAGCCCTTCCTTTATTTTTTAATCCACCGTTTTACTAAGATTCAGCATCTCATCTAGTGGTTTATTTCTTAATCTTCGTATTGTTTATTACATTATGACTCAATTGTTTGTTCTTTCAGAGGTTCCCTCAGGCTATATCACATGTAGTACATACAGTTGCAGTGACTTACTCCCAGACAGTGGAAGGTTTTACATTAATTATACTTCTGCTGTATGTCAGATTCTAAGGTCATGGGAGCTCTCCTATCCCACTTTCAGTCTGAGCTCTCAAACCAGCTAGCATGCTTCTTTCAGGTAACTTGGAGCAATGTTTTGAGGACCTGAGCATCACTAGAGCATCTTGTACTTTGTTTTTAAGCATTTCAGTTATAAGGGTGAAATATTTGGTGGCAGTCCATTTAATAGATCATAGAATCATCAAAGTTGGAGGAGACTTTTAAAATCATCAAGCCCAACCATTAACCTGCCACTCTGCTCTAACCCCTAAACTATATCCTCCAGTATCAGATCCAGATGACTCTCAAACACTTCCAGGGATGGTGAATCCACCACCTCCCTGGGCAGCCTATTCCAGTGCCTGACCACCCTAACAATGAAATATTTTCCCAACTTCTAATCTGACTCTCCTGTGTCTCAGATTATGATCATTCCCCCTACTCCTCACTGCAGGCATGGCAGAAGAGACCAACACCCACCTCTCTATAACCCCCTTTTTAGGTAGTTGTAGAGAGCAATGAGTTCACCCCTGAGCTGCTTCTTCTCAAAGCTAAACAGACCCAACTCCCTCAGCCCTTCCTCATGCAACATGTTTTCCAGGCCTTTTTTGAGCCTTGTTGCCCTTTGCTGGACTTGCCCCAGTGCCTCAATGTCCTTTTTAAAGTGAAGGGCCCAAAAGTGAATACAGTGCTTGATGTGTGGCCTCACCAATGCCAAGAACAGGGGGATGATCACTGCCCTAGTCCTGCTGGCCACATTATTCTTGATACAGGCCAAGATGTCATTTGCCTTCTTGGCCACCTGTGAGCACTGTTGTTTCATATTTAGCCGCTGTCCACCAGCACTCCCAAGTCCCTTTTTGACAAACAAATATATATCCCTAACTCAAGCTATAAGACAAGCTATAATAAAAGCCATTAAAAATACTTCTTTGGTAATTGCAAACTAGGCAAGACAGGAAGATTTAAAAGGGATAATCACAAGAAGTGAAAACTGTGCTTAATCAACTTGTCTCAAAAACCTAAAAGCTTGTCTTTATCCATCTGTTCAGGTCTTATTTAGTCCTCATGGCCAGGAGCTCAGTCTCTGTCCTTTATGTGTCCTTAGATCTCAGATATTGGAAAGGCCATTTCACTGGGGTTACTGAATTCCGTTTAACATAACATTCTTCTAATCCTTCCTGGGGGTATCTAGTTATGTTAGAAAATAACAGCATTACAGAGAAATGACCTCCGTTCTAGGCTGAAAGTGACAGCATGACAGTTCTCTGGAAAGTTTTTGTAAAGACCTCACATGTAAAACAAAACCTTTCTTAAACATCCAGAAAAAGCTATGAAAAAAGGAGCTGCACCAAAAGAATCTTTCCTCAGAAGTATAGTTTTCCAAAATGAAAATGTGTAAGAATGAATTTCAAAACAAAGTTCTGCAAGATTATAGCAAAGTTGAAAATTATTGATAGCTAGCAGTAAAGTAGCAAGAAGCCATTCTTACACAGACCATAATAAAATAACTTTGCAAGTATTGGAAGTATTTGCATAATTGTCCTAGAATGTATTTAATTTCTCTCTACTTGTTATGGTTTGTTTAGTACACATCAGAAATTCAATTTCAATTGTAAATATGAAAGGTCTTAGAGTTTTACAATGAAGAGGAATTTTCTACATTGCCAGTTTGAGAAAAATATATCAGTAACCAGTTTTTATTTTAAATGTTGCCTTTATGTTACTGCTCAAAAGGACACAAAAGTAGTTTCTTGCTGGCCATGAATCTATTGGTCCGTGGCTTTTCATGCAGGTTTCTTCTAACAAAGCTTTGCACAGCAGTAATGCTTAAAAATTCAGATGTCAGCTCATTGCCTAGTTACTGGGGTGTGAAAACACTACTGACAATTTTATGTTTCTTTGTGCTCTGAAGTGAAAAAAACTTCACAGTAATTAATCTAATTGTTGCTCCTCTTAGTAATTTCTTCAGATAAATTCAATTTGATGCAACCCATGTAAGTATTGCCTTTCTTCTGAAACATGATTTCCAGGAGGTTGCAAGATGAGGACATTAAAACCTTACCTCCTGGAAGAAGGATTACGCTGCTAAGCTTTTAGACCTTGTAACCACATTAAATGAGTCACCAAATCCTGTCTAAGGTCAGGATTGTGCAGGCTGACAGGAATGTAGCCTTAACAGAAATACTAAGTGACATTTGATTGTCATATCTCATTTAGGTGGCCAGAGTCAATTATACCTATTAGAAAAATTGAATTTACCTACATTTATGCACAGCTATTTCTATGATGACAGATACTATTAGACTGGAGCAGAAGAGGGTTTGTTTTGATTTTCCTCACCCATTTCTAGGAGGTTGTTGCTACACTTCTTAATCCCTGCTTTTTAAGAGACACTATCAGTGGAACAAATCTGCACCGTCCAGTCTGTTTTTTCATAGAAGCTATACAGTCTTGGACACAGAATTTGATTATATTTTTCTCATCACTTCTGCAATTTCAAACACTTTGCTAAAAAAAATAGGTAGTGGAAGTGAGTAATTATGTTTATTATGCTAGAGGGGTCTGTCTTGCAGTCAGTCAGTATCAAAGAGACAAATTAACCTGAACCCATATCATAAAGGTTTCGTCTTCCCATATGAATAGTTTAATACACACAAACTCTCCTTCCACATCCACTTGTCACCATATTTCCTCTCTCTTCCTCCAAGCAACAGGAAAAAAAATCAGTACATTATTTTAAAAGGTATTTTGCCCTCAGATTATTTTGGTTTTATATTAATAAATCACATCCTTTCTTCACATACTTGCCATATATGCTCTTAATAATCTAATCTCTCAAGACATCTTATAGGGAAAGGAAGAGATCCAACCCAGAATTGCATTTCCGTCACATACAGTAGTCATACGAGGTCTCTTTCACTAATTCAGCCACCTTACAGTTCATCTTTTTAGTGCCTCACAAATCAGACCAAATTGTCTCCAGCTCTGCACACCAGGCCTCTGTCAAGATTACTAGGTCTTCTACACCCAGCAGGTAATTCTGGATTGTGAATTTTATGTAGGACACATCCATTAGGATTAGTTTAGCTTGGCAGCAGTCACCTATGTTATTGCATTGTTTTATTAATCTGTGTTAGTTCTCAGTCTGTACCATGAATAAATCTTCCTGTATGCTTCCATTTCTCCTAGATATTGATGAATGTGCTGAAAATGTTTGTGCTCAACTCTGTGTAAACTCTCCAGGAAGTTATAGCTGCTATTGTGATGGCAAGAAGGGGTTCAAGCTCTCTAAGGACATGAAGAGTTGTGAGGTAAAACGACTATGTAAGAGTCCATGTGGAAAATCACAAATCTGGGTGTTTGTTGATGACAAGATAAGTTAGATTAAGGCAAATAGGAAGCTATTTGAAGACTGATTAATAATTGATGAGAAAATGCTGGAGACTTTTGTCTATGGTTTGGCTCACAAAGCAGGCCTGGTAGGGGTTTGGAAGCCACTCAGTTCATGCATGCTTATTTACAGGAGTCCTGTCAAAAGCAGCTTTCCTTAGCCAGTCATTTCTGCTTTCAAAATAAGCCCCAGGTTTTCCCTATCAAGCAAATAATTCCTGTTCTCAGAGCCAGAATGTTCCATTTGTCCATATGTTCCCAAGTTTTCTTTAGACGGCAGAAAAGTTTTCACTCGCTTTGTCAGAAATGCTCCATGCTTTGCCTGTTTCGATTGAAAAAACTGGATTGTTTTCCACACTTGTCATCTTAAGCCTCATGAAAAAGCACTTAGTAATACTTGTCAATTGAAGAACACCTTGCAGCCAAAATTGGCTGTTCTTGCTCAGTTTGAAGATTTATACTTCTTAGTAGCAGAAAGTTTGAAACTCCAGAGAATCAGGATTCAAGTCCAAGGATTTTCTTGTAAGTGGTTCTCTGTATACTTTGAAAGGTGCAGGCAGGCTGAGACTTGTTATGTGAAGTGAGCTCAGATAGCTGCCAACGAAAAAACACCTCTAAGAGTCCAACAAAATTTGGCTTAAACTGCAGGAACAAGATCTGACACCAGTTCTAGCATCTGTATATTAGATCTTGTTTGTACTTTCTGAAATCTAATATCTAAACACTTGGCAGTCATATTTCATTTTGCTTATCCATGAAACAGTAACATGTAATGAGACTAGAAGATGCTCTTATTTTCAATACTGTTGTTTAAAAGTGATTAATTCTCTATCTGGAAGTTAGTTTCATGCCTCTTAATTGGAAAAAAAGTTTAATCAGCTGAAAATACATGCAGTCTAAAGACTAGTGACACCACTAGACATAAAATGAAGTGGCCATAAAACTCAAGATGAGCTCCTATACATTTAATGGAAAGGCTGCATCAGGAATACAGAAGTCAGAGTTTGAGAACTGCATTACAACTTTTACAAAAGTACACCATGTCTTGAGAACAGAAAAGCTGTTCACACCTATTCTTGATCCTTCTGTTTGTAGTATCACTGTACTGCCCTCATATAGAAGACAGTCACAGCCTGTTTTGAGGGATAACGTTAGATCGAAGAGACTTTTAGACTCCTACTAGTCAATGAGACAGGTGCTCTAAACCCTGTTCTGGAGGAGTTTTCCCACCTCTCTCCACAGGCTGATTCTGGTTTCCTGCATCTAAGGGAATACAGGTGTTGCTTTTAAAACAAAACTGCAGATATTACTTTAATTGTGACATCCCATCATCAGAAGAGGAAGTCAACAATGCCTTAGAATGGATACTTGACATTTGTTTCTTGAATGTTTTACTAGTTTTACTTTACTAAAATTGCACCACACATAAAATAAATGTTGCTTCTGGACAGAAACATCTTCAGGTAGATGAATACCTGAAAGAATAATCACCATTTTCCCCCTGCCCCCTTGCAACTGCATTTGGCTGACATTACTCACATTGTCTTTGGCTAGAGCATTAGGATTAATCCCAGTTTTCATACTGTTGGAGATCTTTCAGCTGCCACAAATACTTAGAACTTTTACAGTTTTCTGGACAATGTAGTTTTCAGAGCTTCATATCCCCACTAAGATTTCTCAGAAATACATGCTCAGTGTTGTTCCAGCAGGAGTAGTGGTGTTGTTTTTGTCAACATTCCTTTCCAGAGCTCAAATAGACAAATACATTCAAGGAACAGCCAGCTAGAAACATTTTCTATTAGTCTGTTACTTAGTCCACTTGTAAATTGTTACTTTTTATTCCAGGTAAATGATTTTAGTAGTACTAGAGATCACTCTGGTATGAATAGCTGTGCATCAATATTGATAAAGACAATAAAAGGTGATTTCATATTTTTCCTAATACAGTCTTTTCTAGTCACAGCTCTGGCCCATTCACTTCTAGCACCTTATCAGGTTTAGATTCTGTAGAACTTTAATAATGGAGCCTGGCAGGACCCTAATAGGTGGGTGTCATACATCTCTAGTTGAAAGAAAAGTACCTAATGCAAGATTTGAATTTTTAATTCAAATACTAAGTATCTAAATATAGTTCCAGTCCACCAGAACTGTTTCAACCTGAATGATCTTCCAGCAGTTTAAATAATGATATTACAAGCAAAAGTGAAACCACACCAGTTCATTTGTACATAGGCATTCAAGTTTAAAAAGACCCAAAGAAACAGAGGTAAGCCATTACTTACAAAGGACAGTCTAGCAGCCAAAAATAGGAGTTGCTTCATATCACAGTGCATTAGCAGCTTTTTTTCCTCTACCATTTTCAGTCCGTGACTACGTGTATCCCACTGGACCTTGAAAAGAATTATGAACTGCTTTACCTGGCAGAGCAATTTATAGGAATTCCCGTTGTCTACTTAAAGTTTAAATTGCCAAATGTCACAAGGTAAGTATTTGTTATTGATAAAAATATGCATTGAAATTATGGATGTTGGTTTCCGTTCATTTTCTGAGGGTTTAGAAAGAGTGCATTTCGTGCAAAAAATTGTATCACCATCTCCCCAGGGGTTTTATATGAGAAATGAACAAACTCTGGTTCCTACATAGACTAGCACTTCAAGGAAAACGGAATCATTCAAAAGTGGATAGGCAAGCATACTGTGTCTGGAGTTAGTTTGCAGCATCTCTTATTGGTTGTACTGTGTCCTTGAGCCACTTCATCAGTATAGGCAGCAGCTCTTACACAGCAAAACTAAAAGGACAGCAAGTTTCTTCCAGATAGCTCAAAAGCAGTGGCAACTATGTCTGAGCCAGGAAACAGTGCACAGATGGGGCAAGACAAGCATCAGGGGCATTCAGATGTTATTGTGTTTATGAATAACAGATTTGGAGTCTTCCAGCCATTACAGTCCTTGTTACCAGTGCTGTTGTAGGGAGAGGTGTATGATCTGGGAGAGAGGATTCAAAGAAATCCAGAATTGAATGGGCAAAAAGGCAAGAGGATTGAGGGTGGTAAGTTTAACAGGCAGTGTAATAGTCCCATTAGTTTGTGGACAAGAGAGCAAAAATATTGGGGCTTTCTCATGACAGAAGCTTACTCTTCCTCTGAAGGAAAGAGCAGGGACTGAGGAATGCAGGGTGGGGTGATAGAGGTACAGGAAGGCATTTAGAATTCTGAACATGAAATTAAGATGTTAGAGGAAAATAATTACCGTACAGCTTCCAGTTATATATGGGAATGGCTTTAGTTTGGGTGTCGCCACTACTTCACATCTGCTCTGGGCAGAAGCTGTGACATGCTGTGCACATACTGCAGAGAAACAAAATCAGGCCGATCCTTTCCCCCTGTCCCTGTGCTTCCTTTCACAGGGTGTTCCAAGGACACTGTACCTTGTCCAGAGCACCATCAGTGTGATTTTCTTTACAGCTGTCAGAGCAATTGCTAGTGCTAGTGACCCCTTTATTACTTTTTGACTTCTTTGCTGCAGCAGCTGAAATTGCAGTGTTCCTTGACTTACTGACCGAACAATCTGAAGGTAACAGCGGCAGCAGCTGGTTGAGCTGGTGATCCCCAGAGCCTCAGAACCTTAAGGAAGGACATAAATATTGAAAACTTTTTCCTCTACCGCTGTTCGGAGTTGACCAGGCATTAATGCTGTCCTGGAAGACCTTTCTAAGATGATAAATGTTTGAAGCTGTGTTAACAGTCTGTGTGTAAATACAGACAGGGTTTCCGTGGGTCTGCGAGGGACAGCGCCATCTAGGGGACAAAGAACTGGACTGCGAGTGAAAGCGACCCCTGTTTTTCATTCCGGCTGCCTTGCTCCTTTTGCTCTCTTCAGCACATCCTAACTTTCAAACGCAAAACAGTGGAAGTTAGAAACAGAGCTTTCTCCTTTCATCCTTAATCTATTTTGTCTAGTCTCACAGCTCATGGAGATAAAGACTGTTTTTTCTGTACTTCTATTCTCTTCCACTGTACAGGTTCTATAATGTAAACCCTAATTTTGCTACATAAACACATTCAGCTAAAATCCAGACAACAAATCCTCATATTATAGAACAGCATATCAAAGGCAGCAGTAATCAATACAAATTGTTAGGTTATAATTGTTGTAGGACAAAACTTGTAAACCCAGTTGCATGTCATGTATTTTCTCTGCATTGCATCCCCATAAAATGCAGTAGGAATATTACATTTATCTTCTTACTCAAGGAGAGTTGGGATGCCCTTTACATATAAAGCTCATAGTGGATTTGGGAACTGAACCAGGGTTATTTCAAATCCCAGCTCAGGGTGTGAATTTGGAAATTTTCACTATTTTCAGGTGAACAGGACTTACATTAGATTCTGCTTTTGACTAATTGTATGCAAATACCACAACTGATCAGACACAGAGATACCAAAAGGTTAATATCTATGAACTTTTTTTAACCCAACTAATCAGTTATTCTAGGCTATACAGTATTTCATGTTTCCTGTCTTCTTATTAAGATTCCTTCTTCACAACTCAGATTTACAGCAGAATTTGATTTCCGGACATATGATGCAGAGGGTGTTATACTATATGCAGAATCCCTTGACAATGCAGCATGGATCTTGCTTGCTCTTCGTGATGGAAAGATTGAAATTCAATTCAAGAATGAATTTGGAACAAAAGTCACCAGTGGAGGCAAAGCCATTAATGATGGACTGTGGCATATAGTAAGCTGAGTTTTCTTCTCCCCTTTCCTTCCTTTAACCCACTATGGGAAAATTCTGTATTGATAAGTAAAGTAGGGAGAAACTAAGCAACTGTTAAAAGGCTTAAAATGATGCATTCAAGGCCCAGATTTAAA